AAATTCTCAACTATAGAAGTGTTGGAAACATCCATATCTTTTTTATATGGACAGCCATTGCTAGTGAAAATATCACGCGGTACAGCTTGGTCAAAATAGTTAACTATGTAATCAGGAGATGAGATTATAAGGTTATGCTGAAATCATAAATGCTTTAAAATAACCCAATAAATAAAACTATATGCTGGTAGTTGAGACTACAAAAATTGTAGTTGCACAACAATAATCATAGCGAGACTATAACATTTGTAGTTGGTTAAAAAAAAAAAGTCAAAGCTGGAGGGTTTGAAAACCGTAGTAACGCCACAAAAGCTGTTGTTGGGCTACATTAGCCGTATTTTGGCTATCACAACTGTAGTAGGGCTACAGAAGCCATTGGTGGTGGTCGATGATTGCTACAACTTGCTTGATCTGCACTTCTCTTCATGGTGCACTTTAGTTGTTAGCTTACTCTTATTTTCTCTTCCCCCTTCAAAGAAAGAATGTGCGCCTATTTATAATTTTTAAGAAAGATGATTTGATAAATCTAGTAATAATTTTGTAGCACTTTATTGGACAGTCTACATTGATTCTTTTGATCACATGTATCTTTTTCAACATTTAAGTGCCTAGACGACCTCAAAATACAAATGTTGGTTTGCTTTCATCAAGTCGTTCAATTTAACATTTAGGTGGTCGACAACCAGCGTAAAACTTGTCGAAAAAATCACGACATTAATCAATTTAACTATAAGTAGATAAAATTTAAATATGATTTATTCTTTTCATTGATGCACCACAAACTTTGACGAAACTTCAAATATTTGTTCTTGAGCTTATTTGGACTTAAATTTGATCACTTTCAGTGTCATTTGGTTCGTTTTGTTGAGAACTTTAGTTTCACTATAAACTTTCTTGTATGATCTTGAATTTGAATTTATATTTTTTTTGCTCAAAATGCACTGAGATTCGTGCATGATGATAATTTTTTTTTATGAAACATCAACATGAATATTCATTCACCCATAGCGCCAAACTTTTAGGTCATGTGTTTTAAATATTTTTATTTTGTTTATTCTTTATTAGCTGACAATCGTGTTTGTATTTTACTTGTTTTCATCTTAGTTGTTTGAGATCAACATTTAGGGGTTGTTTGGCTGCAATTAGGATTCATTCAATCCTATAGATCCAGATTTAGTAATCTTGAAATTTTCGTCAAACTTCACAAATTATGTGTTTTAAATATTTTTAATTTTTTTTTACTCTGTATTAGTTGACAAACATGTTTGTATTTTGCTTGCTTGCATATGAGGTGGTTTGAGATCAATATTTAGTTGCTGTTTGGTTGCAGGTAGGATTTAGTCAGTCCTATAGACCCGGATTTAGTAAGGTGTCAGTCAAACTTAAAAAAAATTATATACAAAATCTTACATCTTACATTTGGATTGGCAAACAGATCTAAATTAGGCATATTTGTCTTAAGCTTTGCACTCTTTCTGGTTGAAAAATAAAGATGATGGAAAACAGGGTTGGAATCACCTTGAAATTCAAGTTTTTATTAAATAATATAAAGCATTTATAAACTCTGTAGTCTCACCTTTTCATAGAGTAGAAAAGTATTAACATTGGGGATTTTTGATCTCTTAATATCAAGATGTTAATATTAGTGCTCGCATTGCACATCAATCTTTTAATTCTTGAGCTATACCTTCTTTTATGGTATTGTCCAATGTAAATTAAAATTTGAGTTAAGTATAGCTTAACTCTTCTAATATGCCCCACTTTGATGTAAAGATGAAAGCAAAAGTTATATTAAATGCATAAAATAATTTTATGACAAACGAATTACTACTGGAATAATCGACAAACATATTATTTATCTCTTATAAGTAGCAAACATGGCATGTTAATACATGAATGAATAGGCAAATCATTGCTTGGGTTGTCTTATTGATATGTCAAACCCGACAAACTATGTGGACAATCTTATTTTTGGTTCGGCAAACAAATATAAATGAGTTATATTCACCTTGAATTTTGTGCTTTTCATGGAGCATATTTTTTGTCTCCATCGCTTATTTTTTTTTTCAGATAAACAATGGTGATGGAAAACAGGAGCAGACCCATCTTGCAATTCAAGTTTTATTAAATAGTATAAATTCATTTTATAAATTTCCCCCTTTCCCTTTGATTTTCTGACTAATTGTCCAAAGAAAAACAAAGTTCAGTAAATCTTATCATTAAAGGGTCACAGTCACACACCGCCCTTCTTGACTCAATAATGCAGCCTACTTCATTCTCTCTCATTTTCTTCTTTATGATCCCCTACTTCTAGGGTTAGATGCTCGCTGCAAGTCTAGCCAAGTCTAGGAGCTATGAGGTCAAATTCTAAGATTTTTAGGGTTTGTTTTTATTTTTTCATGATAGCGTTAGATTTTTTTGGTTTAGGTTAGGGCTTATATATTTCAGAGGATGCAAGTAGAACGCTATCCTTGATGAGTCTCTCGAAATGAATGTGCGCATGTGTACAGAGGTAAGTCATTTTTTTCTGGTCTGGATGCTATGTGAAGGAAATGAAGCTTTTTTTACTTAATTTTTATGGCTGCAGTATTTCTGCATCTCAAAGACTCCATTCTTAAGTTTTTATGTGGATGAATTGAAATTGCAAAAAAATTGGCTGAACTTGATTTTTGAGTAAATTATTTATTGGAAGACTTGTATGAAACTACTTGTAGTTCGGGCCTTTCTGGAAAATTTAAATGGGTTTTAATATTTTGTGAATAAAACCAACAATTTTTTGTGTTTTATTGGGAAAAAAGAACTAATCTTTGTTTTATGTTATAGGATTTCAAGAAGCCTAAGCATATACGTCTGAGTTTCTTGAAACCTTAATTTTTCTAGTGCAGTATTTACGTTTGGATTTCCTGGTAATTTCTAGGTGGTAATATTTGGATTTAAGAAACACTAACAATTCATTTTTATTTGGCCTTCGCTGTTTATTTTTTCTTTTTTCGCCTTTGCCGTGTAAATTTTTTTTTCTTATTAAAGCTCAAACCAAAATTATTCTAAGATATACAAAACGCATGCAGTTGATGTTCAGCACTGTAAAATCTACGATGATCATTCCTTTTAATATGATTGTATGAAAAACTGTTTAATTCTGTTAGCAGAGATCAGACTCGAGAACTATGTAGAAATTGGGAGCGTATTGCATCCAAGAAAGTTGTAGGGGCTGAACAGATCTGATTTCTGCTGTTGTATGCAATAGCCTTTTTGAGATATGATGGAAAAGGATTCATGACATCAAAATGCAAGATGATTAGTGCAATCTGATGAGCAACACTGCTCCTGTTTTTGCATGGTAGGACTTCTGTAAGTAACTGAATTATGAGTAGTTTTTAGTAGTCAGACAATGACGTAATCTTTGTCAAATCAATCTATATATGTTTGTTGCATGTCTCCATTGTCGTTATTAAAAGAATATAGTTAGGAGTTGTTGGGTCAAAGCATTTATTCTTTTTTCCGGCATTCCAATTTTATTGTTGTTTGCTTTGAAGCAAAATAAATGCAAAGTTTTGAGGAACTTGAATTACATATTGCATCTGGAAATCACACAATTAAATTTATTTAAAAAATCTCGTGTTGCTGACACCACAATTTCCATCTGCCACCACTTGTTGCTCGCACATGGCGGTTTGCTGTCTTTTTGCTATCCTCCACTACCATCCACCACCTGCTTGTTTATATGTACTTGAACATACTCAAATAAAAATTCATAACTATGAAAGTTGCAATAATAAGTTTGCATGAATGTAGAATTGTGCTAATTCTTACTGAATTTTGAAGTTTTTATAGAGTGGATAGAGAGATTGTTGTTTATATTAGAATTTTTACGGTAACTTGTGTGGTGGTTTTCTACTGGAGTAGGTTTTGATATTAATCTAAATTTGTAGGGATGTAACAGGGCATATACAGGGTGAATGAAAATAATTTAGTGTTTTATTTGCATGCTTTTTCTTTGTATGCTATGCTTTGTTCATTTGTATGCTATGCTTTGTCATAATAAATTTATCATAATTTATCATTATTATGATAATTTATCATAATTTATCATAATAAATTTATGTGCATTTATCATAATATTCCTTCTGAATAATGACAGTTTTATTAGTTCTTGTGTTTATTTGAATCTATTGGCGGTATTTCGTGGGAACCAATCTGTGCAAGTTTGCGTAAAAAATTTTCAAACAAGCAACCAATGGAGATGCTGAGTTCACCTAAAGATAAGACTTCTGAGTCTGTTCATCTGGGTTTGCAACAGCGGCCACAAACTAGTAAATTGGTAGCTGGAACTGTTCCCTTGCTAAAAATTGAAAATCAATCCTCTGTTAATATTGGAACATCACGTCAATTGGGGCCTAGCAAACATGAAGCACAGATGGCGAAAATAAACAAACATTCAGTACAGGCGGAACTGTCTGTGAAGACCCGGGTGGAATCTGAATCGGTTAGGTCAAAACTGAGGGAATCACTTACTTCTGCATTGGCTACAGGCTCTAAGGAGCAAAATAAACTAAAATTTCTTGAAAAAAATTATATAGGAGAGGAAAAAGGTGTGTTAAAGAAGGCAGACGTTCCTTCTCTTCAAAGTGAAATTCACACTTCTGCTGAAGATGGTTCTCCTTTTGAAAGTTTGCCCAACAATTTGACTTCTGATGCACAAATTAAGAAGTTTCATGGGAACGGAGGATTACCATTTGAGGCTGGCTCAAGTGGAAATTCTGGTGATAAAAATGAAGCTGATGGCATTTGTGATGTGCAAGAAGGCCATGAAAAACATGATATTGTGATGGATGATGTTCCATTTTGTGGTCATTCCATTATGGAAGATGAACTCTTGCAAGTTCACGGACTCTTTTGGGCATCTGATTTTGATTCTGTCAATGAAGCTTCAATGCAGAACTCTGCTCTGAAAAGGCCTAAATTGATGGATTTTGAAGAGAATAGAGACACAAAGGATGCAGCACTTCAAACTTTTGAGAAGTTGTCCGTTCTAATTGAAGCTGAACTGTTTAAATTGTTTGGTGGTGTTAATAAGAAATACAAGGAGAAAGGTAGATCACTTTTGTTCAATCTGAAAGATCCTAGTAACCCTGACTTGAGGGAACAAGTATTATCCGGTGCAATTTCTCCTGAGCAACTCTGTACCATGACTGCTGAGCAGCTTGCTTCGAAGGAGCTTTCACGTTGGAGGCAAGCTAAGGCTGAGGAGTATGAACATATGGTGGTTCTACCTGACATGAATGTTGATATGAGGCGTTTAGTAAAAAAGACTCATAAAGGAGAGTTTCAGGTAGAAGTTGAGCAGGATCATGGTGCTCATGTGGACGTTGGACTGGGGTCAGATGTTTTTTCAAAGATTTTAGCAAAATCAAATGATGTAGATCAAAGTCAACTTAGATCCAATGACAAGGAACCGACTTTATCTAAAACCCATGACTCATTACGAGGTCAGAAGTCTGATTCGGATGGAAGAAATGTCTCCAGTAATTTAGATCATAGATTGTCTGAGAAAACTGATTATATACAGGACTTCATGGTAGAAGAATTGAAAGACACAGAGCTTCTTCCTCCTGTTGTTTCTCTGGATGAGTTTATGCAGGCCCTTGATTCTGAACCTCCATTTCAGAATTTGGAAGCTAATAATTTACAAGAAAATCCTAGTTCTGTTAATAGGAACTTAGATAGATCAGAGTCAGATAGCATTTCTACTCCAGATACCTCAGCTAGTAAGTTGGACTCCAAAATACACTCTGGCCATATCCACACCAAACATGCGAAAGAAACTTCATCATCAAATAACGGTCAAGTAGATCATAATTATCAAAAGAGTGATGATAAGCTGAAAACAGAAGGTGCTTATGATAAACATGTTATTGGAATATCTGATTCTGAGTCCAAGTCCAATATTACTTGGGAGGGTTTTCTTCAGCTGAATGTTTCTGCTCTGTCAAACGTTATGGCCTTCTTTTTAAGGTTTGTTTATTTTTGTTTGAACAAGTTTTATGCACTGGTGCTTCAGAAGTTTTTCTACCCATTTTTAAATTTTAATCTCCTTTATTTTAGCAGCCTCATAGTGAAATTTTTTTTTGGCTTTTTTTTAAAGAATTTATGATATTTGTGCAAAGTTATGCTTGCTTTGAGGAACCTTTTTTCTTGAACATTGGTTCGGGACGGAGAATATAATTTGTCACCAGTTTTACTTGGCTTCTATGCTAAAAAGCTCGAAATGAGTACTGGTATGGGTGTTAATTAATCTTGAGAATATAATTTGTCACCAGTACTTACTTGAATGTTGGATATGCTATCTTGTTTGCACTATTTTTTCTGTCACGCATGATCATTAGTTAAATTATTGTTGAATGCTTTAACCCTTGACCAGTGAAGTTAATTGTTGGCAACGTTTTTTGGTGCAACATATATGCAGTTATAGTTTGGTTATGATTACTTAGTTATAATTTTAGGCGATGGTTTATGTATTATTCCGGGATTATCTAGGCTTCTTTGCATTGTTTTTTGGTTTTTGAATTGAATTTTATGTCTTACATAAGCTTTGCCTCCTTAAATAGTTAGGCTCGCAACAACATAACATAGTTTGGTTGTGATTCTCCTTCATGGGAACATTTTATGGTTGGAAAGTTACATGATTTATAATTATTGTGTTTAAATACATAATGGTTTGGTGGTTGGAGGCTGACGAAGGAGAATCAACCTTCTTTTTATGTGTGTTCCAAGCCAAGAAAAAAATATGGAGAGGAAGAGGAGTGGAGAGGACAAAATGTTCTTTAAGAGGAGATTTCTCATCTCGATGCGAAGAAGCAGAGAGAGATAGAGAGAGAGAGAGAGAGAGAGAGAGAGAGAGAAGAAGGGGAGGGAGACGGTCCCCATTCTTACCATGTATTTGTCGTGAGAGACAGTTGGAAGAGAGAGAGAGAGAAAGAAATTGACTTTTTGCAAAATTGTGAATCTTTCCTTTTTAAGATTTGTTGCCCAACCAAGGAGAAAATGACGAATAGGTGGGGCTAGGGAAATAAAGGAGATTCAATCTGCTTTGCAATTTGAACCTCTCCAAATACATATTCAGGAAATAATTGTTAATCATCATGAGAAAGAAAGGGAAATTTTGAAACTTTAAATATCACACGAAATTAATATATAATCAATACATAGATACAATAACAACCACCCTTTGTCCCGCTAAGTGGGGTCGGTTGCATGAATCCTTTTTCTCCATTATATCCTATTGAGTGTCATATTTTCATTTAGTTCTAATAAATTAAGATCGTTGTTTATTCAACATGCCCAAGTCGTTTTTTGTCTACCTCTACTTTTTTGACTTGAGTCGAATTTAAAGCATCAACTCTCCTAACTGGTCATCAGGTGGTTAACGTATAATGTGACCAAACCATCTATGATGACTCTCTATAATCTTATCTACCACGGGAGCTGCGCACCAACTCATTACCAAATATAGTCGTTTCACTTTTTGTCTTTTAAGTGTCAAGCCACTCATTTACTTAAGCTTCTCTTCTCAGTAACACTCAACTTGGTTTTATGCTTCCCGTTTAAAGACCTGGATTATGCGCCATAAAACGTTGTAGGTCTCAACATCATCTTATAAATTTTTCCTTCTTTTCTATCACACAATAGACCCAATGCATTCCTCCACTTCAACCATCCAACATGAATTCTACTAATAACATCCCCATCTATGTCACCATCACTATGAACAATAGACTCAAAGTATCTAAAATATTCACACCTTTTAATGATTTGATCTCTCATTGTTACAACTTTACCACTAGATATACTACCACTAAAACTACATTCCATATATTCAATTTTAGATCTACTTAAACGAAGTTTTTTAACTTTACTGTGGGCCTCCATAAGTTTTTTTTTTTTTTTGAATTATTTCTCTAGTTTTATCTATAAGAAGGATATCATCATTGAAAATCATACATCAAGGTACATTCTTCTGTAAGTGTCTAGTAAGAGCGTCCAAAACTAAAGCAAAAATGATATGAGCTTAAAAACTATCTCTAATGTAATTCGATTGAAATAAGAAAGTAGTTGGTCACAAGTAACAACTCTATTATTCACATTACTTGAATATAAGTTACATCAACACCTTTGCTAGAACTTTCCAAAGAACTTCTCTTGGAACCTTATCGTAAGTTTTTTTCTAAATCAATAAAAATCATATGTAGATCCTACTTTCTCTATACTTCTTCATCAAACATCTCAATAAATGTATAGCTTTCATAATAGACTTGCGTGACATAAATCGAGATTGAATATGAGAAATCTTGGTATCACGTCTTAATCTATATTCAAGTACTTTCTCCCATAATTTTAAGATATGAAACATTAACTTTATTCCTTTATAGTTTGCACAATCTTGTGCATCCCTTTTATTATTAAACATGGGGACTAAAATACTCTTCATCTACTCCTTACGCATCTTTTAAGTTTTTCCAATAATATAAAAAATCTAGTAAGCCAAGAAACTCCTAAATTTCTTAAATATTTTCACACTTATATTGGGATATCAAATAATTCATCATCCATCACCTAATATCACAACTGAGTATTCATAAATAACCACAATATAACTTTATATATGTTGCACTAAATAAAATGGCAACAAACTATGAATAAGTGCATCGTGTTGATAGAATACAATGTGCTTGTTGGTAACACATGATGCTAAATTGATCAAAAGGTAGTTTCTCTCTTGCTAGCCTAAGGGTTGCACTGTTCAACATATATCAACCAAGTAATTGTTGTTAGTTAAATTGAACATGCTTAAATATAAATTGGTATGATAATCGAGCTTGTTTAAACAAGAAAATGTGTTGCCTTGTATGAACTGGCTAAGGATTCGAGGTGGCCTAGCTGAGCGAAACACAATCATACGTCAACCAACTAGGTAATCAAGGTGGCCTAGTTGAAAAGTGCAGTCTCTATCATAAATCGACTAAGTAATCGAGGTAGCTTAGTCTAGCAGAGTGCAACAACAACAACAACAAAGCCTTAATCCCACTACGTGGGGTCGGCTACATGAATTCTTTTTCTCAATTGCGTCCTATTTAGTGTCATATTTTCATTTAGTTCTAGTAAATTAAGATCAATTTTAATACATTAAGCCCAAGTCTTCCTAGGTCTACATCTGCCTTTCTTAACACAAGTCGATCTAAAACATCTACTCTCCTAATCGGATCATCAGATGGTCGACGTTTAATGTGACCAAACCCTGTCACGAATATATTCATTCTGCATTTTGTCTCTAAGGGTAAAGCCACTCATCCACCTAATCATTCTCATCTCAGCAACACTTAATTTATTATTATGCTTCTCTTTTAAAGGCCAACATTCAGCGTCATAGAGCATTGCAGGTTTCACCACTGTCTTATAAAATTTTCCTTTCAGGCTTAGCAGTACTTTTCTGTCACACAAAAGGCCCGAAACATTCCTCCACTTCAACCAACCAACTTGAATTCTACTATTAACATCCCCATCTATATCACCATCGCTTTGGACAACGGACCCAAGATATTTAAATCGTTCACACCTTTTAATAATTTGATCACCCAAAGTCACACTTCTGTCACTAGAGCTATTACTACTAAAATTACATTCCATGTATTCAGTTTTAGTTCTACTTAAACGAAGGCCTTTAGAATCCAATGTAGACCTCCATAATTCAAGTTTATCCTGGGCTTTTTCTCTCATTTTATCCACGAGAAGAATATCATCAGCAAAAAGCATAAACCAAGGTACATCCTCTTGTAGATGTCCAGTAAGACCATCCATAACTAAAGCAAAAAGATATGGGCTTAAAGTCGATCCCTGATGTAAACCAACAGAAATAGGAAAATATTTTGTCAATCCTCCTTCAGTTTGAACACAAGTAACA